CTTTGCGCCTTTCCTGGAGCTCACTTGGTAGCCCAGGCTGGCCTCAAACTCACAGAGATCCGCCTGCCTCTGCCTCCTGAGTGCTGGGATTAAAGGCATGTGCCACCAACGCCCGGCTCTTCTCCACTTCTTATTAACACAAACCACCACATCTCCCAAGAAGCAATTATCTCACCTGTTCTCTCCTTGGTGCCCCATATTTCTCCATGAGGATGAATATCCTTAATTGTCTTTTTCATCAATTATTCTCATCATCTATGTCTCAGTATTTATTTTTATCTTCTTTGTTGTACCAAAATGTTGCTCCTTGGCATCACATTATGGCTCAATAGATTACCTTGCATCCGTTAACATCTTTCAATGATCCAACACCACATAAATCTGGTGTGGGCATTGATGCCTATAATCTTGGCATTTAGATGATGGAGAAAGGATAATCACTTGTGCCACACAGTGAGTTTAATATCAGCCTAGGATACATCAGACACTGTCTAAAAACCAGCAAGTGGATACACAAACAATGAGACACCTATACTGCATAGTAAATTCCAAACTTGTCCTTACATCCACTTCTAAGGAGACATGCTCAGGCTCTTTCAGACACAGCAGCACTCACTCAACCCCTTGCAGCTTATGCATCCTTGTGTCCTCTCATGCACAGTGTGACACATACTATCTTTCTTATTAATTTATGGATACTTGTTGTCTCTGACCTGATAGGATGTGGTGGTTTAACCCTGTGAACCAGTCAGACTTGCAGTCAGTGTTGTGAGATCAGTAACACCATCCTCTCCATAGAAATCATTCTCACCAGAAAATGTCCTTCCCCCTCCTGGTGGGGAGAGTTCCATGTGTTGGACTTCCTTGAGATGACTTGTGGTCTCAACAAATGGCATCCCATCTGGCTTCTCTGATCACACACACTGGATGTTCAACCATAGCAGTAATAACATGTCTCTAGTGAGAAAGCAACACTCCAGGAACTTGATTCCAGGTTTATTTCCCAATCATGCTTATTGGCCACCTCTTTCATGATTCATTCTTCATGCATTATTGTCATGGAGGCATAGCTAGATGACACCTACTGGGTTAATACTGTAATCCTGTGTCCACTAGCATCCACCCAGCTGAGGACAGCTCTTGCTGATCATGATGGGAAGAAGCAGTTTCTTTATTGAATCAGCCTCAGTTTTGGGCAGGTTCTGAGTACCTAGATATTGAAGATGGGGCTTTCACAAGGGTTATGTGATTCCTCCCTTGGCAACACTTGCAGAGTACTTTGTGTACATGGTTGGTTAGAACAGTTATTACTGTCCATTTTCTTGTGGGTGCAGATTTCAGATGATTTTGTTGTTATATCATGAGAAGTCTCTGAGGTAGTAGGACTTGTGTGATATTTATGTAGTCTCCTTAACCCAGGACTGCTTTCTGATACTCCTATGTTGTCAGTGACTTTAAAAATTTCCCTTTCTTACAGACAAAGTGGACATCACCTGTAAATAAGATGGAAAGGCTCCTGATCCTTCTGCAGTAGATTAGAACTTTTCCATTCTGATGATGTATTTGTGGCATTCCCAAATGGTCAGATGAAAAGTTTTTGGAGACTATCTCCATTGCTTTCTGAGGTCCATGCCTGCCCTGATTTCCTCATGTAATAAGATATTGAGATTCTGGTTGAAACAAAGAACAAAACTGGAAAAGTTTAGTCTACTATTTTTGTGAATGAGTGTGTTTTTCTGGATAAGCATCATCAGTATTACATAACATTTATTATCAGAGTTATCAAAACCTCTTTGGTGTTCAAATGAATGGGAAAGAGTGAGAACTGCTCATGCTCAGAAAGAGTGTATTGACAATGTCTATCTATGAATTTTTTACACTTTATCCCAACCTCTTTAAAACTTTTATTTGGAACCAGTTCTCACTGAGATCCCTAAGATGATCTGAATTGTCTTTTTAGCACAAACTGGCCTGAAAATTAATAATGCAGCCCAGGTGGACCACAAACTCATGATCCCCGTGCTTCACCACTAAATGGTAGGATTACAGGTCTGCACATAACACTCATCTTCAGGTGTAGCTTTTTTTATTTAAGACCTTTATTAACAGGTGCTTGCAGTTTGTTGACTTTTTTTAAAATAAAGTTGTAAACTTATTACAAATTAAAAATGAAGTTCTTAAAAATCTCAACTTGACCAGATATGAAACAATTCAAAAACCATTAAAGGTGTATTGAGAAAAACCAGACCTTTTTTTAAAAATAAAATAAAATAAATAAACAAAAAAAAAACATTTGTCATTACCAAAAAGAAACATCTTTAGGTAAAAATAATAAAAACCCATGCTGCATAGATAATGCAGATAGTTCTAGTGTATCTGGTCAACGGGCAAAAAGCAAGCACTTAAGGTCTTCAGCTCCAATCTTTGTTCATTTCTTATTGCTGGAATTTCATATCATTTCTTCTTGTTGGATGACCAAACCGGATGATGGTAGAGATGGTAAGCCGGCATTTACTCAGCCCCGCCCTGCTCAGCCTCGGGAGCGGACGAATTCTCAGCTGGAGGATGGGCTGCTTTTGTCTCTTTGCCATCTTGTGGTTTAGGGTTCTCTGGGCGTCTGCGTCGGTAATTGAAGTTGCGGAGGTACCAACGTTGAGGTGGCTGCTGACCTTGGGTCTCGTCTCCTTGATTTTCCTTGTCCTCTTCATTGCCATCCTCTCTAGGCTGTCTTTGGCGAGGAGGGCCCCTGCGGAATCGTGGTCTGTAACCCCAATACATATTCTGTCTCACTGGTCTACCTTGCTCTCCTGCACCCTGGTTGTCAGCACCCTCCATCACTTCTCCTTGCACAGGAGGGTTGGAATACTGTGGTCGACGCCCATAGGGTCTCCTCAAATAGTAAGGTGGGAACCTTCGCCTGCGATAGGGCCGGCGTTGTTGGGCTTGGCGTTCAGGAGCGCTTTTCGACCCCTGGTTCTTTTCCCTGCTCTCACTATTCTGGTAATTTTGCTGGTAATTGCGTGGAGGACCCCTACAACGTGCATAGCGTCTATAATGGTTACGGTCTGCTGCGAATTTACTGCCTTGAACTGGAACTCCACCAGGTCCTGTACCCTTGGTTGCCTCCACACCCTTTTCTCCTTCAACAACTCCAAACTCCACAGTCTCTCCATCTCCTACACTGCGAAGGCACTTCCTGGGGTTATTCTTCTTTATGGCAGTCTGGTGTACAAATACGTCTTCCTTGGTGTCATTCCTGTTGATGAAACCGTATCCGTTCCTTGCGATGACCTTCTTGTCCCCGCCGGCGGGTGCGCCGATGTGAGGCCGCCCGGGCCGCCACTCCCCGTGCCTTGCCGGTGGAGCCGGGCTTGGTGTCGACGGCGCTGAGGGCGGCGGCGGGGGTGGCGGGCGGCTGCTGGGTTTGGGCCTCGCTGCTCATGGTTGCAGTGGTGGTGACTTGGGCCAGCGACGACGGCTGCGGCTCCTGCCGGGGTGTGATGGTGACTAGGCCTAGGCCGGCAGCGGCGGTGGGGCTCTCAGGGCTCTCTGGGGTCCGCTCTGCACTCCCGCTACCGACCGAACTCCAGGTGTAGCTTTTTATTAAACTTTCAAGTACAAATTTCATTGATAAAAATGTTTTAATTTTTCTCCAAACTATTGTTTTTGCTAACATTGATAACTTATGTCTACCTTTCTCAAAAAATGGTTTTCTCTTTTTGGTGATGTAGGCTTGAATTACTAATTATTCAAACATAAGCTTGTTTTTTTCTTTCCAGAGCTGAGGACTGAACGCAGGGCCTTGTGTTTGCTAGGCAAGCGCTCTACCACTGAGCTAAATCCCCAACCCCTTCAAACATAAGTTTTGCAAAACTTGTATTTGAGGCTTAATTTATCCATTATCTTCAGTGTGGTGTGCAATTTAAAAACATATAGTTATACAACTTTATGTGTATATATGCGTGTCTTGGTGAATGAAAAAGCACCATGTGAATACACTGATTTGCAATTTTAAACCAATATACTTGGTCATTGTGTGATTTACTTTTCTAACTCATTGGTTGTTAGGAGCTAGATAGACCTTGTACGTAAATCCTGTATACTTTATGGATACTCTTTGACAGCATTTTCTAATATAGGCACTATATTTGTTAGAGAAACACATGAGATACTCAGATTTATTTCTCAGATTCTGTTTCCATGAGAATCTACTGCTGTCTCATATGTACACACAAGGGCTCCACATAGCTTCCTTCTCTGTCTGTGCCAAGGTTCAAAAAAGAGAATCTTGAGAATCACAAAAACCAGACAAATAATACCCAACCTAACGAGATTCCTCATTTTGTCATCCTGGGGTTGTGAGGCTGGAGTTGTACAAAAAGGAGTCAGGACACACCAAAATCACCCCCAAGATACTGGATCTCAACCCAGGGCACTTGACTCTGTGTCCAGCCCAAAATCTGAGATTCTCCTTACCTCCCTTGGCTCCTGACAGGCTGAATTTCTCAGATGCTCAAGAAAAATAAAAAGAGAAGTAGGGATCCTGCCCCCTACTTCCCTTCTGGACCAGAGGTGAGTATCCGGCTCCAACCCGGACTTCATCCCTGGGCACCAGCCACTCTGGGAAGACCTGCCCAACTTGGCCACAGGCTCTGGCCACCGGGCGGGTCCTCTTCTAGCCCCACCGGGAGGGATCCCCTTCTCCAAGCCCCCCGGCAGCCCCTGCAATCCCCGTGCCCTGCCCCCACGCCCATCTGCCCGAGACCCCAGCCACTTCGTGAGACTTAGAGACCGGCCCCCAGCTCCCATCCTGCTCCCAACTTCCCTTCTGGACCAGAGGTGAGTATCCGGCTCCAACCCGGACCCCATCCCTGGGCACCAGCCACTCCGTGAAATCCTGTCCAACTTGGCCACAGGCTCTGGCCACCGGGCGGGTCCCCTTCTAGCCCCACCGGGAGGGATCCCCTTCTCCAAGCCCCCTG